ATAAAAATAAAATTATCAGTTCTAAACTTTTTTTTCCTTTAGTAGGTTGGAAAGTTTTGAAAGCTTCTTCTTTTTTTATCCCTTAATTGAAGTTATTTTTTTATGTTAATTATTCAACAAAATATGTTGTATTTTAATAATAAAAAGCATATACATCAGCACAAAATAATTACTATATTCTCAATCCTAATAATTTTTATCTAGCTTGGGATGGGAGGTCTTGCTTCATATTTGTTAATTCATTTTTGGTTGACACGACTTCAGGCAGATAAAGCAACTATAAAAGCTATGCTTGTCAATCGAGTAGGTGATTTTGGATTATTTTACTCTATTTCAAACCGTAGATGTAACTTTTGTTATTTCATTACTTTTAATCACTATTAAAAATATAAGTTTTTACCCATTTTTCATTAAATCAGCTCATCACTAAAAAGAAATTGACTGAAATATTAAAAAATTCCCTAATATTTTTGTATAAAAATACTACTATTTTTTTCCCACTAATTTAATTATATAATATTAACTAAAAGTTGACTAATTAGAAAGAGGCGTAGTCAAGCTTAATTCTGCCTAATTACTAAAGATTTGAGCTACATGTAATCGTAAAAAAGTATGGTATTTTTTATTTCATTTTTTGTTATTTCATGACTATATTATTTTTATTTTTTTCGAAAAACAAAAGAAGTTGATAATTTTTTTTTTCGAAAAAAAAAAAACGCTTTATGTTGAACTAATTAAAGAAAGAAAAAAGAATATTAGCTCATGAGCTCACACACCAAACAATTTTTCATAGATCATCAACTGAATTATGCAAATTCAATCATGCAACAATATTTTTTTTTGTTCAAAACACACATAATTTAAAATAAAAAAAGAAAAAATACTGGCACTCCTCTTGACATATTTCTTACCAATTTTTAACGCACCGCAGGTAATGCTATCACAATTTTACGATGAAATAAGATTTTTTTACCCATCTCTCTCACAATGGCTCTGAGCTCAAACGCGGTAGAATATTGAAGAGTGTCTTTTGGATAATAAACGATAGCATTGTTGAACATCAACAAGAGATCTCTGAAGAAGCTGGCAAATTTCATGTTTGAATAAACACCTTGTTCTAGCTTGTTTTGAATAATTTGTAAATCCATATGCTGCTTAATTTGTTTGATATAACGAAAATCTGGATCACTTTCCTGGAAAAAATAAAAATAAATAATTAGCACTAATAATGAACTAATAACCTAAGTTTTATGATCTTAATATTGTACATTTGATAATTTCACATTTTACAATGAATTTAAGAAAGAATAAAAAAGACTTTTGGTCTTAAATATGTTAGATATTCCTTTCATTCAGTTTATGTAACATATTTTACTGTCAGTTTGTTTTAAAAATGACATAGGTCTATAATAATCAAGCTTTAAACTTTTCATTTTATAATTAGTGAAAAGTTTTATAGTCACACAAATATTGTGATGCATTTAAGATTATAAGTTTCAGAATTCTTTTCTTCACGTCAAGTCAAATTAATTAATACATGCATGTCCTTGGGGGTAAAAAGATGCGGAGATCATTTCTAAGTTTAAAAAAAAATTAAAGCAGAAAGAATGTCACATAAAATAGAAGAAAAAAACATTCCTTTTTAAAAGAAGATTCACTTTTGTGAAAGAAATATATATGTATCCATTTTTTATAAATCAAACACTAAAAAAAATAGAGACGATATAACTTTTGTTGTTATAACACTAAGAATTTATTGCTCTACTAGAAACATATAAAATTTAATGATATATAGGTTAACAATGAATTTACCTGACAGGAAAGTCGAGATTCAAAAAGACAGCAATATTTGTGAGATCTGAGCACATCAAGAACACCTATAAAATCTTGATCGATATTATGCATTTTGTCATTAGACGTATCATTGCCTTTTTCCTCATCAGCAATTCTTTTTTCTGCTTCTAATCTGTAGAGATTGTGAAGTATTTTCCTATATAAACATAGAATAAATAAAGATATATATATCAATATCAAATTGTCTTCTTGTTGTTAAACTTGTAAAAAAAAAGAGGAGAATATATAAACTTGGACAATAAAAGAAGCCAAAACTAATGCATAATTATATTATTTGGGGCCAATTTTTTAAGCTAACAATTATTTAGTTTTTTTATAAGAAAAAAAATTATGAATTAACAATGAAATTTGTCTTCAAAAAATCCATAATTAATTCTACACTCTAACAAGAAAGAAAAAATAATTTTTTAGTGGTAGATTGTACCAATTAATGATATTTTATTTGTGCTCTATAACTCCTAAGATCTAGAGAAGATATATACCTTATATTTATGTCCCCTATTAATCAATTTATTTTTTAAAAAATCCATCTTACAATTGAGGATCACACAAAAATTTATCATGAAAAGCCACAATTCTCCAAACATCATAAACAAAAACTAAATCAAAAAGGAAAAAAAGAGGGGTTTTTTTGGTTGTTGCTATTTTTAAAAATAAAAAGATAGATCTTACTCAATCGAAGGATCAAATAGTTTCAATTCCTTTCTCAAAATATTTTTTTAAGTCTCTCTAAGTGCATCTGCCATCAACTTTACGAGTGCACTTTCATCATCATCTTCTTCATTAAAATTCATCTGGTACAAATTCTTAAAACGCTTTTTGAGACTTTCGTACTTGATCTGACATTCTACGGACGATATATTAAGAACACATCGACGAAAATGAAAAATGGCTTTGGAGAATTCAGCAGCCACCATTTCCCACTTGTCTAATCCATGCCTTCTCACTGAACATGCAAGCAAAAGATCATCTTGGACTTGAAGTTTCTCCATTTTCTAAAGATTTTTTTGAGTTTTTTTTAGAGAAATTAAATCACCTGGTAAATAATGATTCAATTTTTTCTTCTTTTTTAAATGGTCATACTTAGCTTTTAAGGAATAGTTATTAGATTTTGTGAATAAAATGTTGTTCATTTATGGATTAGAATGAAATAAAGTCAGCTAATGTAAATGTGGCAAAAAGAAATAAATATATTTTTTGTTTTTTTGCCATCTATTCATTATATGAAATTATATTTTTGGATCAAATTTGATTGTTTATTTTATGTAAATTAATCAAGTTTGAAAGATTTGCTCATTTTTTTAAAAATATTTAATATTTATGGTCAAATGCCTTTTTAAGTATTTTAATTTAAAGCATAAATACATATGTGAAAATATATTAAATATTAATTAATATCAAGTTTGAATTTATGATTTTAAAAGCATATGCAACAAGTATAATATCAAAAACTTTAAAAGTTAAATTCATCAAGTTTAAATTTTGAAAGTGCATTCACATATAATTTGGTGTACTTAATTTTCGCTAGGCGCGAAAATTATAGAAGAATTTAGCCACAGGAATCTATTACATGCAGTCTTATCATGTACATTTTTTCAAGAAATTATTCTACAATCTGAATCTATGACCTCATGATCACGACTATAATTTTACTAGTTACGCCAAAGACTTTCATATTATATATAAGACAACCAATTAATTAATTAGTGGTATAAGACAACTATATGTGAATGAACCTTCTTTTAACTTCTTACTTTTTTCCATATTTATAGCCATTTTTTCTTTTACAGATTTTCATAAAAACAAAAAAAAAACATGGGAAGAAAACATGGTTTTGTTGGGGGAATTCATTTATGATTCTCATTTTCTTTTTGTTAATAATCAGTTTTAATGATTTTCAGTTACTTGATTAAATTATTTTTTTTAAAAATAAATTAGAGAGTAGTTTATTCTTAGCTTAGAATTTGAACTAAAACTATTGTATACAGAAATTTGATTGATTTCGTAGTTGTCTTCTAATTCAAGTACCTGAGTAACTTTTAGTTTAAATCATTTGTACATTGAACTCACTTAATTATATAATAACCATAATTTTTCTAATTTAAACCTAATATTCTTAAAATTCTTTGCCACCTTTACTTCATTTTTAGTATGAGTGTTACACAATTATCATGTAAGACGTCACGTAGGACAAATGTGTCTATTTTACGTGGCATATTATGGTCCTATATGACATACTACATATATTATGCCACGTAAGACATATGTGTCTAATTGTTTAACTTTGTGTAAATCTAAGTGTCCACTTGTGTATATATAAAATTAAGGGAAAATTATGCAGAACAACAAACATTTAGCCTATATTAGGTACTATAAATATAGTTTAAGAAAATTGTAATTCGCGGCTATAGTTTTCCCAATTTTTGCTATTCTTCTGATTTGTATTATTGTATAATTTGTCTGCTTTATATAAATCCAGAATTTCGTATATGCTTACTCTAGCTATTTGTATACGATTTATAAAAAAAATCATATTAAATTACCATGTTTGTATATTGGCAAGTAAAATATACAAACGGAGTTCTGAAAAATTTCTGAATGTATAAATACAAAATTTATACTCTCTCCGTCCCATTTTATATGAGGTACTTTGACTCGGCACGAAGTTTAAGAAAGGAAAGAAGACTTTTAAAATTTGTGGTCTAAAATGAATGATAGAAATTTCTGTGGCTGTAAATCATTTCATTAAGGGTAAAATGAACATTTTATAGTTAAATTGTTACTTAATATAAAAATGTGTCATTCTTTTTGGGACTGACTAAAAAGGAAAGTAAGTCATATAAATTGGGACAGAGGGAGTATATATTTACCCTATTTGTATATTCGCAAACGAAATATACAAACAGTCAGAAATATACAAACCGCAGCTTCCATAGCAAACAAAACTATAACTACAAAGCACAATTATCGAAACTATAGCTATAGAACGTTATTATGACTATTATGTTTGCTATTTCTAAAATTTTCTCTACGAAAGGGCATATATATCAGATAAAACCAAGTTAAAAAGTAACTTATAAAAGTAGCATAGATTGATCCTTTAACTTTTCCAATTTGTCATTTTGACCCCCAAAAAACCTAACAGGCAATTGACCTGTCCCATTCTTCCCCAAATCATCAAAAATGTCAAGAACTCCTACTATAGATTCTTGTACAGTGGAAACCAGTGATGGGGTTAAGCTCCATACCACAATTTTCAAACCAAACGCATATGAAGATGAGGAAGAAGAAGCATTAGGTGAAGAAATAAGCAAAAATAGCTCATGGGTTGTGGTTTTAGTTCATCCATATTCAATATTAGGTGGTTGTCAGAGTCTATTGAGAGGAATAGCAAGTGGGTTATCAAGAAAAGGGTATAAAGTTTTGACCTTTGATATGAGAGGTGTTGGAAGATCAACTGGGAAGCCTTCTATTACTGGGTTTAAGGAAATTAAGGATGTGGTGGCTGTTTGTAAATGGGGTTGTGAAAATCTATCTGTCAACAAGATTTTGTTGGTGGGTTCTTCTGCAGGTATATAGAATTTTAAATTTGTTTCCTTTTTAGTGTATGGATGTATTTTATTTTGGGGTTTTAAGTTTATGGGGTTGTCTCTAAATTAAGACTGTTTTGATGTTTGATTCAATGGAGCTTGTATAGTATTCCACTATTTAGAAGTTAGGGTAGTAGGTTAGGAGGTAGTAGAGCGTGGTCTTGCTTATACTTCCATGCTAGTAGTCGTAGTATTACTCGTGTAGCTTCTTGTTTGCTGTTTCTTATACTTTGATTATCATATTTTTTGTTTTGTTTTATTGTAGTTATGGTTTCTATAATGTTGTGCCATGACTTCTTCATTTATGTTATTTCCTTTTCCAAACTGCTTTGATTTGTTTTTCATCTAGCTGAGGGTCTTTTGGAAATAGCTTTTTCTTCCTCCAGGGTTGGGGTAAGGTTTCACTTAGTACTTTGTGGGATTACATTGAGTATGTTGTTGTTGTTGTTGTATCGTTGAGTTATTCCAAACAAGGACTGCATTGTGTCATTTCATTTAACGGTTAAATTACACTGATAGTGTAGATATTTTTGTATTTTTAGCTGAGTTGGACTCTTCACTTTCGATGCCTCACTCGTGTTGGATTCTCCAAAAATACACTACTTTTGGAGAATCTGACATGCACCCGTTGACATTTTTGAAGAGTTCGAGCAACATAGATTTTTAGTGTCTATAAGATGGTTTTTGGTTCTTTGGAATGATGGGTTTGTCTCTATATTAGGCCTGTCTGATGAACATGTTTGATGTTTGATTCAATGACCCTGACATAGTATTGCCACAATTTAGAAGGAATTTCCAATTTTTTGTGTATCATTCTTGTGTTTTCCAAATAAAGAGTGATTTGTGTCATCAGTTCAGTTAATATTAAGAGAATGACTCAATGTTTTCTGTTAGCTTTAATTGTTAGCTAAATGCTCTAGTTTAGTGTAGTAGACAGCTAGATGCGTTGAGTTTGTTGGATTACAAGGATATATAAGTCGATTCCTATGCTAGTTCTTGAGTCGCATTTGTTAGGAAACTGCTGCATGGTTTCAGTAGGAGAATAAGGAAGCAAGGAGAACTCGTGGTTTGTGGTTTTGGTTCATCCATATTCAATATTAGGTGGTTGTCGAGGCCTTTTTTTAAAGCTGGTAACTTGTGGTTGTCGAGGTCTATTGAGAGGAATATCTTTCAGAAGTTTCTTGCACTTCTAAAGTTTTGATTTTTCTTAAGGACTTTATGTTTGTAATTCTTTTTTTTTAGAATGTTTTGTCATGCTTTCTATAGTATTTTTCCACGATTTCTTCATTCCCATTATTTCTTTTTTGATCTTCTTTGATATTCTCTTCCTTGAGCTGAGTGTCTATTGGAAACGGGCTCTCTATCTCCCAAGGTAGGGGTAAGGTCTGCGTACACTCTACCCTCTCCAAACCCTACTTGCAGGATTACACTAGGGATGTTGTTGTTTTTGTTATTGCAAGGGTGAGAGCTCTATTTTGCAAATATTTGGTGTCTTTAACATCCATCCTTTACGTAAACGTGATTTGTTTCTACTCAAGTTCCATATTTGTTATTTTCTTTTGCTGCTACGTTTAATGGCATAGGTGTTGAATGTTTCATTCTTTCTCTTTCTTGTCCATGAAAATCAAGGAGGTGCTAAAGTAGTACACATTTAATCATGTTGTATTAAAAAAGGGAAATGCTACCATAAAACAATCAGATTGATGAATTATGAATAGTGAGCTTCAAACTAGTTTGCCTTTTAATATTTCTGTGGTATCCGTATGCAGCAGCAAGCGATTCTCAAGAACGTTAGGAGTCTAAAATCACATCCCTGGCGGAATTGACTCATAACTTTCTTCTGTTGGCAATCATTAATGACCATGAATTATTTATAGAATAGAAAGCTTTGCCACAAAAAATGCACACAATGGCAATAATTAGATGAAACTGTTTTTTGCTATGTGATGATGCATGTCTTTTCATTTTCCTTTTGGAAGAAGGGAAGTTTCTGAAGATCACTGCTTTCCCATCCTGTCATATTTGCCTGTCTCGCTGATCTCCTTACTTTGAACTGTTTGCATTGCATTCTCTGAATAGTAAAATCAAGGTTGGTTGCCGCCTAAGTTTAAACATGTCTAGAACAAAAACTTTGGTCCTTTATGGTCTTTTCAAGCCTGTCGTGATGTATGACAACATAAGTATATATAGCATGAGATTGTAGTTGTCTTTTTAAGTAACGGAAGAGGGAAAGAAGAATGTAGGAGAAGTAAGACCATTTTTTCCGGTTAAACCTGATCAATTCTTTAGTTTAAGTGCTAGAAGTAGGTAGAGAACTTGAAGAGAGGGAGGAATAAATAGGTTAAAGTGTTAGAAGTTAGACGCTACCTATCATTTTCACTTCTTGAAAATCCAGTTGAGCATTTAAAATGATAATTCATTCAGCTCTATTTATAAATTCTCCGATATATATCCCCTTTGACGTTAGTTTATTCCCTCTTACACTTTCTCAATGAGTTGTGTGACTCATCTAAGTGCTCGTTGCATTGCTTTGGTAAGCAATAAAATCACGTCTCTCTATCATATTCTCCAATATTCCATGTCAAATGCTGTTTGAGCAGATTACTAGTACTTTTGCTTCTTCACAACACAAGCTACTTCTAAATCAATGAGAGAAGATGTTCCAAAGATTCTGTAGTAACATATGTAGTTGATTCTTTTCTGGAACTTGCCGTGTTGATAAATACAACTAACATGGACTGGTTAACAATTATCGTATTATTTGTTGTTGCTACTTGTTCCCTTCTTAAATTGTTTTCAACACGGCTTCTTGCTACTGTAGTTGCTTTTCATACTTAAGGTAGGGATAAGGTTTGCGTACACTCTACTGCCCCAGACCCCACGTTGTGGGACCATACTGGATATGTTGTTGTTGTTGTTGTTATCTCATTATCGATATACATTTATAACAGGTGCACCAATAGCAGGCTCTGCTGTAGATCAGGTTGAACAGATTGTGGGCTATGTAAGTATTGGTTACCCTTTTGGTTTATTAGCATCAGTCCTCTTTGGGCGACATCACAAAAACGTATTAAAATCGCCTAAACCAAAGCTCTTCATCATGGGGACACAAGACGGATTCACCACCGTTAAACAGCTGAACAATAAGCTTAAATCTGCAGCAGGACGTGTCGAGACTCATCTAATTGAAGGTATTGGCCACTTTGAGTTGGAAAGCCCTGCCTATGATTCCCAGATGGTAATTTTTATTGCAGAATTCATCAACTCTTTGTAGTCCACAAGATCTGGTGTTGCACGGGAAGAATTTACGACATAATGTGATTCCCTATGAACGACATCCAATCTTCTACACGCAGTGCAGTATCATAACCTGGTGCTTTCTAGCTGGTCTCCAAATGAAGAATGAGAAAGATGGAGTTGGGGTTGATTTTGTGTGTGTGTGTGGGGGGGGGGGGGGGGGGGGTATGAGTTCACGGTGGAGGGTGGCCAGGGGCGGATAGAGAACATATATGGTAGGGATACGATAGAACTCAATAGCTTTGTACCTAGTGACAAGCGAGGGATCGTTAGAACCTATAAATTTCAAATCTTGACAGTTCCCTCAGAGGGTGTTAGTGCTTTTATGATTCTAAATTTTATATTTTAACTGGATTGTCACTTGGCTGTTGTGTGTGAGCAATGATAGTGTATGTGCAACACCGTAGATACTTACTCGCATCGAGTGGTTATAGTTGACATGCACTTGGGTGCAGAATTTTACCGTCTCAATGAAAATCTTGGATCCGTCACCATTATTGACATACTAGCGTTCATACTTTTTGTTTGACATGTTAGGAAGTATGGCCTATGCTGTTTAGACTTTTTGGGTCATAAAACGTTCATAATAATAGACGTTCTTTTCGTGTGTATTAGTATATGTTGATTTTTTTTTTGGCGTTTCAAAGTCTTAAAACATGAATTTCATATTTATAGGTGTCTTTTTTGTGTGTTAATACATGCTGATTTTCATAAATGGGAGGTATTTGATATGAGTATAAATTTAAAAATTGGATTCTTTAGCACATAAATTTTAAAGTTTGGGGATATATATTGGTGTTGGGATACCACCAATAATTATATGCTTTAATTAATTAAAAGTTTTGAATTTAAACTAATAAATTATATAGTAATTCTTTATAAACACCTAATATTTTATTTTGATTCTAATAATAATTGAGACTTTGAAAGAGATAACATGTGCATTTCCAGTGCTATTTTTTTTTAATTTATGTCATGCTCATGTGCCTACTCCTTTTATTCCTTTCTTGATTTTTTCCCTCTTTTGGTGTCACGACACACTGTATTCAAAACCACGACTGACCTGAAGCTAACCCTCGACGTAATATAAATCAAAGCATATCATATGAAACTAATGCGAAACGGGAAACATATGCTTAATAAGTCTTAATATTGAGATGAATGACGCCGTTGTAAATAACCTTTGTTATGCCAAGCTAACCCTTGACATAACAATTATTCGATGTTTGAAATTCACTAATTCGAGATAAGAGGGAGTTGTTCGGATAGTTAACACCCTTCACTTCTAACCCTAAAACTGTGAGTTTAAGTCACGTCATCAATAGATCAGTTAAAAGGTGGAAGCTCCTAAAAGGAGTAAAAGAAAAAACTCACTAATTCGACTTATTCAAATTCGAGTTGCATAGAACTCACAAAAGGGAGACCAAAATCATACTATGCAAGATTGTGATGCGATTATACTAATTACACTAACACATTGCATAGGCTCATTTAAGGGACAAACACTCCTTATTAGGAGTTTTTTCATTCATAAAACTCAAAACTGAGATATTTGATTAAGAATAAGAAAATTTTGACTCCGTCTATCTCACCGCACCTTTTTAATACTTATTATTACAATATATTATATGTTTTTTTATAAGAGAATTTTGACTCCGTCTATCTCACCACACCTTTTTAATACTTATTATTACAGTATATTATATGTTTTTTTATAATAATATTTTACTTTTTCAGCAAAATTGTACTAGAGGATCTCATCCTATAGAGTAAAAAATACAACAATATATCTTTTCACTTCATCAAAATTAGAAAAAAAAAATAAGAAAATAAGGAAAGGAACTCCATTAACAATATAAGTATATATTTGCATATTCATCAAAGTTATACATTAATAAAAAAATGTCATTCCTACCTTAATCAACTGATTCACAATTTAAATTTTCATAAAACTAATAAGAATAGATGAATATAACACTCACATATGACACAATTATATCAACTTGTTATTGAAAAAGTTATCGTCCAAGCCCATGATACGTATTGCTTGCTTTGGCCCAACAAATCTTACGAATTTATTCATTGGATTACGATGTTATAAAACTCGTCCAAAAATGTGCATACCGTGTGAACTCTTGTTATGCCTCGTAAAGTCTTTCACCTTTTTCTTTCATTCTGAAATGGAATTCTCCTAAAATGTCATGTGCATATATCCTTCTTCAAAAGCGCTTACCAGCTAAACTAGAAGTTTGCAAGTCCTTCTCCATGAGCGCTATAAAAAATAAAATCTATGAAAAGACTAATTTACAAAAAGAATATTCAGAAAGAGAAAAAAAAATGTTAAATTCTCTTTTTTCATTGTATCTTAAATTGTTAAGAATGAACATAAAGGAACTAAGAACAAAAAGAAAAAAAAAAGATAAAAAATAAATAAAAATATCAATGATGTATTTTATTTTGAATTGGATTTGAAGAACTTCTAGGTTTTCTTCTTAAATCATTTTTCAAAGCTTTTTTCTCTTTCACTTTGCCAATATTTGTAGAAATTGACTTGAAAGAAACCATTAATCTTCTTGAATATTGGGATTTTATTTCTTCAAGAATTAATGTGTCTTCAAATGAAAAAGACCTAGAATAAACCATGATGAATGAATGAGAGAAAAATAAAATTAAAGTAAGAAGAAATAATGTTCTATGACTATTTTCCATTGTGTGGAGAACTTTAATTTCAAATGAAAAATGGAGAAGTATATTTGGTTTTTTATAAAAAGGAAAGAGGAATCCATTCTTGATATATAGTTATGTTATGGCTTGTGATTAATCTGACAAAACATGTGTAAATGGATAAAATAAAAGAAAAAAATGATAGTAATATTTAAAGGATATAGTCTATAGTTTTTAAGATTCACACCGAAAAGTCTCACTTTGAAAAAAGGAAATACATTAGAAGATTAATGGAGAAAGAAGAAAAAAAGATCTCTGGGATACAATAAGTGAATGTTGAAGTTTGTACAAATAACGTGCATTGATCACTTTTCGATTCTGTCTAAAGAAAATAACTATTGCATAATTTGCCTTTCAAATGAACTACTCTTTAATTTTTACTCTTTATAATTGAACTAGGACTCCTGCTCAAAACCAAATTGGAATCGATAATCCGAACCGAAAAAAAGTTATTGGTTTATCAATAATGAGTTATTGGTTTAATAGTTTTAATAACGGTTTAGATTTTTTTTGTTATCGGGTTATCGGTTCTTAACGGTTTGAGGTTTTTTCTTAACGGGTTAACCGATAACCCGTTAGTAAATTAAATAATTATATTTATACCATTTTGTATATAAAGTCCTTGACTTAGAGTTTGGTTTCCTACTTTTATTTCTGGTTGTTTCAAACTCTTGGTTATTCTACAATGTAAAAGTGTTGCTTTTGAGCAAGATGTAATTTGTGAACTCATGTGCATGATTCATTTGGTTTGCCACGTTATTTCTAAGTGATTTTCAATGTTTTCTTTTTGTGTAAAATCTTAACGGTTAAGCCGACAACCGAACCGATAACGATCAATAACCGATAAACCAATAACTGACAATATCTTAATGATTCTATAACAGTTTATCATCTATACAAACCGATTAACTTCAAAACCAAACCGAACTGAACCAACCGATACGCATCCCTAAATTGAACTTATGCCTAGAGGGGCATAAGTTCGTTAAAAACTGAAATCATGTCCAGATGTAGCTTATGAAATATATGATACAAAAACTGAAATCATGTCCAGATGTAGCTTATGAAATATATGATACAAAAATATAAATATATATCGGAACAAAACTTTAAGACCACCACATGAATATAGGGGCAAAAATGTAAATGACCCCATGGAAGCAACAAAACATGTGAGACCTCATTTGACTAATATTAAGTAGATCTCTTCGATTCAAATCATTTTTTTCTAATTTTTAAGACTATATATTATATAAAAGAACATGTTCATGTGACTTTTCACAAGATACCAAATTAGTCCACTTTCCTATGTGTACTTTTTCTTGTATTATATTTTAAGCATTTGAATCTAAGGTTTTTCAGGATCAAACAAGCACAGCTAAGGTTAGTTGGGAAAGAAATTAGGATGCATGCTTTTAAACAGTAATAATATAATATGAAACTATGTTGTTCGAATTTTTCAAAAATATCAACGAGTACGTGTTGAATCTTCCTTAAAATAGTGTATTTATTTGAAGAATTCGACATGAGTGTATCAACATTTTTGTAAAGTCCAAGCAACTTAAATATACAGTCAGACTTGATCAACAATCGATTTATGTAACAAACTTTGACTATAATAAATAAAGGCAAACAAGATGAGGATGCTCAGATAGATGTATGAATATACCAGAAAAGATAGGAATAAGAACGAAATTATACAAGATAATTAGGTGGAAATGGTCTCTGTGTCGAACAACACGAGTGAAGCAAGATTGAAATAATTAGGACATGTTAAGAGGACGTGCATGGATGTACGATTAAGAATGTGTAAGAGGTTGACTATATCAGGTTTTTAGAGAGGTAAATGTAGGTCGAAGAAGAATGAGGGAGGTAATTAGACAATACATGACACATCTTCAGCTTACTAAGGATAAAATCTTAGATACAAAGGTATATAAATCGAAGATTAATGTATATAGAACTTAGAAATGTAATAGATAACCAAGTGTTGTCGTACTTTTATGTGGGAAACACATGTTTCTAGTCTCCTCGGCTCATCTTGTCCTTATTTATTAGTTTTAGTTAGTATTCACATAGTATCTTTTTCTTTTTTTTGAAATAGCACATAGTATCTTTTTCTTCTATTTTTACTACTACTTGTTACTTCTTTTGCATTATTCATCTTGCTATTTTGTTATCATTATAATTTCATTCATCTTAATTTGATTCGATCATATCTTGTTGAATGAATTGATATATTGTTTTATGTTGTATTTCTTAGTCAATTTCTTCCTACTTGGACAACGACAAAAAAATATTGCAATCCATCATAAGTAAGACAAATATATAGAAACGGAGAAAATGCTTGAGGTAAATAGAGGAAACTGAAATAGAAGGGCAAATCGATCAATTTAACTTTTAAATATTCTTTAAAAAACATTTATTTAAAAAAAATACTTCAAATATAACTAGGATGAATCAGTTTAGTCTTATATGCAAAAAATACCTATAAATCATTATATCATTAATTACTCATACAGTATCATTGTATTGTTAATTAACTAGTATTCGTACCTGTGCGATGCACGGTTATTAAAAAAAATTTAGTTATATAAAATTATTATCTTATCTATTTGTTTTGATAAACTGTAACTATGATTTTCCTTTCCATGCAATATATGTCAATTATAAAATTTTCACTAAATAAATTATGCTTTGATTTTTCTAGTTTGCGTACATCCTACCCTCTTTAAATTCCACTTATAAAACTACACTAGATATGTTGTTGTTATAAGCTTATACTATAACATGTAAAGCTTTGTTGTTTGTAGTAGCGGTATTAACAATCGAAATATGATCGAAAGAAAAAGTCTCAATTTGTTGGAAAATTTAGGTTACAACAATAAATTTAGTTTCCTAATTGTGAAACGTTTAAATACTGGAATGTATCCAAATTATATTATTATAGCATACACATTTTGTGAAATGACATGTTTGCATATAACAACTAAATAAAATCTAAACGTCAAATATTGATATAGGTTTGTAACAACCACTCACACTAAAATAGGCACAAAAAGAAGTTCGAAATGATGTTGTTATAGAAAGATTTTACCAGAGAGAGAACAATTTTTTAAGTACGATAACCAATCAGTTCAAATCATGAATCCATCTCTGCACTTAATGCATAAAGTGCATGTAGGTATAACGGAGCTCTTCCAATCTCTAATGAAGGAGATCCGCAACTTGAATAAGACACAAGAATCGAGACCATCTCTACTCCTTTCTAGGTTTGTAATGTCACAATCACGACCTATTGATCTTCACTTCTAAGACACACGAGAATCGAGACCTCTCTACTCCTTTCTAAGTTTGTAATGTCACAATCGCGACCTATTGATCTTCACTTCTAATACACATGAGAATCAAGACCATCTCTACTCCTTTCTAAGTTTGTAATGTCACAACTGCGACCTATTGATCTTCACTTCTAAGACACACGAGAATCGAGAAAATCTCTACTCCTTTTTAGGTTTGTAATGTCACAATCCCGACCTATTGATCTTCATTTCTAAGACACACGAGAATCGAGACCATCTCTACTCCTTTTTAGGTTTGTAATGTCACAATCTCGACCTATTGATCTTCACTTCTAAGACACGAGAATCAAGACCATCTCTACTCCTTTCTAGGTTTGTAATGTCACAATCGCGACCTATTGATCTTCACTTCAAAGACACACGAGAATCGAGACCATCTCTACTCCTTTCTAGGTTTGTAATGTCACAATCGCGACCTATTGATCTTCACTTCTAAGACATGAGAATCGAGACCATCTCTACTCCTTTCTAGGTTTGTAATGTCACAATCGCGACCTATTGATCTTCACTTCTAGTACTTTTCAATGAGTTCAAATCTACCTTCACGAATAAGAAATAAAAGGCCTATAAGTAGATCATCGAGCTTGTGACTCTATCTCTCTATCTTTCGATCGATACACAGTTTCTTACGCGATGCCTTTCAAGAGGAAATGGTTGATCAATGCTCAAAGCAAACAAGCTAATTGAATTTATATTGGTATGGAACTCGCGAAAAAATGCATTTCTCCAACACAAAATACGTGTGGAAATGCTACAAACCCACCTCCATCCTTACCCGCACCCCACCCTCTGAAAAAAGGCGATATAAAAAGAGAATAGCTATACCTTTTACACATTACTACAAGAACTTTAAGCTAAAATGTCTAATGCATATACAAGTTAATATCTTGTATTATATAGTAGAAAGAATTTATGAGGAACAAGAAAGCATGCCTACACCGGGACGATAAGCCCAAGCTGGAGGCAAGCGCGCATACTTCTCCATGCCAGGTTGTTCGTCAAATGGACGTTGCATAACTTTCAGTAGTCGTCGGATCTCCCCAAAATCTTCTTGTTCAGCTGCATCTATTGCACTTTGGCATAAATAGTTTCTAAGGATGTACTTTGGATTTACAGAATTCATCGATGCCTTTCTCTCATCATCCGATACACCACTAGTAGAGAGCTGTAGAGTAGAATAGTGACTAGTTAAGCATCTTGCACGCAAGAAAAAACTACAGAGAAGGAGAAGGGGTGGAGCCAGATAGGGCCAAGGTTTCATCCAAGCCCCCTTCGGCAGAAAATTATATTGTTTATGCGTTGTTGCAATTTGTCATTCGAACAAAATAACAAATTGTAAACAACAGAGATGGTTTCATGCCGGAATTATCATCGTCAACACAACAATTAAAAATACAATCACATCACAGTTGCAACAAAATGAAGTTATGTATGTACTTTAAGCTAGTACTTACATCCCACTTCTTTCCCTTTTTTCTCTTTTTCTTTTTCCTCGTTTTTATTTTTATGTTTTTACACTATGGAGAGGCCGGGTGGATCTAGGATGGGTTCGGTAGTTACCAGTTTCAAAAAAAAGTTCAACTATACCTATTTGGCTTGAACTAAAACAAAACTGAAATGTATACGTATAAGATCAAACTTATTCCAGATCCACCGATTATAGCTCATGTAAGGTCGGGAAGGGCAGGGACGTGGGGTGGTGGTGGTGGTGCAGAGATACTGAAGCCCTGAAAATACATAGATTTGCAGATGAAGTGAATTATCTTCTGGGAGAGTAATTATTTGACCTTTCTACCAACAGCAGCCCGTGTCTAAGGGGAACAGTGCAGGTGAGCAGGGGCGGAGCCAGAGGGGTGCAAGGGGGATCCATTGAATCCCCTTCGTTGAAAAATTACACTAATCTAGAACCTTTTTTTTAATCCCCTTGATTTCCCGACTCCGCCACTGCAGGTGAGCAAATATCTTCCACACAAATTATGAGAGCACCATGAAAATAGTCTAAAAGCAAGGGCCTTCATAGCATCGCTTGACCCTTAGTTATTAGTGAACAAGTTATGAAATGGGATTTAACTTGCAAAGATGATATGACTTTACGATGCACTACGAGTCTACGACTGAGCTCAAGAAGAAGATGACTCCTAATTCAAAGAAAAAAAGATAATTGTACATACCTCCTGTATGTAGGATTTCACCCAGCTTGTCCAAGCTTCCTTGCGCTCCTGACCAATATCCAATAGAGCAGCTTTCAGAGGAATTAGTAACTGGTTATCTGGAATTGTAGGATCGGCTTTGATGTTTGATAGTAATCGGAAGAAGTTTGTGTAATCAACTTTATCGACAGCCATATTCTTAAGTAGTTCACCAATCATGTGTTTATTGTACTTGACCAAACCAAGCTTTTTGGTCATGATAGCTTGATAGTCATCCATAAATTTGATTCCATACCTAAAAAAGTGGATAGATGAAACGTCACTCAACAGTATAAAGATGAAGACCAGCAACGGAAAGAATACACTCCAGCAAATGGTAGTATTTTTCGTCACCTCTCCATGGCATAATTTGCCTCCTTATCATTTAGCAACTGTGCAGTAGACAGAGTAGTAGCAAACTGAGCAACATTCCATAAACCTATATCCGGCTGATTCGCAAAGCAATATCTTCTGCCAGGTAGATCAGTGGTATTTGGTGTGAAACTGGGATCAAATGCGTCTAAAAATCCGAAAGGGCCATAATCAATGGTGAGGCCTAACACACTCATGTTATCAGTATTCATCACTCCGTGTGTGAAACCAACACCTTGCCACCTCGCAATCGTGGAAGCAGTCCGCTCGGCAACTTCCACTGCCCATGCTGAAAAAATGAACCCATACATTAACGCATGTGAGAAAAGTAATTGTCAAAATATACAAATAAAAATATTTTTTCTTCAGTTCCATAACAAAAATGCACAATAAATAGCACAGAATGTAATGAAAATGAAGTTAGAACTATGTTACAAGAATACATGTAAACTCCAAGTCCATTTTTCCCGGTGTCAGATGAACTAAAAATACTTACAAACAGAAATTACAACATATGATTCTTTTCTCTTCTAAGACCAAAGGTAGCATCTTATTACGACAATAGGCACTTCCTTTCCTACAACAACATACCCAGTGTAGTCCCACAAGCGGGGACTGGGGAGGTTAGAGTGTACTGTTTCCAATAGACCCTCAGCTCAAGGAAAAGCATTTCAAAGGACATTCTACCCCTCCCAGACCCCAATGTTAAATTTCTGGAGTCTAGAACTTTGCTTGGTACTGTATTAATCTGGACGGTGGAGCTCTAGTAGATCATCACAAAGACCACACAAATGACCAGCAAAAAATTGTATTATCCTCCTTCATGTAGAGATGGAAGGATCAAGAAGTCCACTGGCAGAAACAGGTAAAAATGAGGAGGTCATTAAGACTTTGCTGACAAAGGAAATACTGAGACAAGTACTATCCAGAAGAGGCAATTACTATCACTGACATTTAGCACATAAACAATCCATCCGTACATCCACTTCAAGATAATCAATATTACCGCATTGTATGGAGACCAAAAAGTAGAATCTTTTAATGACAATAAAGTCCTTCCTTTTCTTGACACTAAGTGTTTTAAATTCTGAAAGTAGAAGTTTTCCTCAAACTAACCACCAGATGGATGTTAGAAGCCTGACAGATCACTACCAAGCCAGTACTAATGGTTGGTAAAACACATTATATTATATACCTTCCACTTAGACATGGGAGGACAAAAAGGACCACTAGCAGAGGCATATAAAAACATTAAGAGTCATGCTGACAACTGGAATGTTGAGACAAGGACTACTCATCAAGAGGCAATACCATCACTCTCTTTGGCCACACCCAATTCAGCATAAAAAAGGAGAACAGATTCCGCACAGGCATAAACAATCCACTTCAAGAAAACCAATATATTACCTGCATATTTGTTTGAAGTTAAATCCACAACCGAATCATCTTCCTCACCTGTGCTGAATGATATGCTTTCGCTCTTACTCATGTTCTCTAGATGGGGGAAGTGATGTCTAATTGTGTAATCTGCTAAAGTACGCACAATCTCAAGGTCCTCTTTACCCCTAAAGGCATGTAGTTGGTAAGAGCCAAAGCGAAGAAAGGATTCAGCAACTCTGCAGACAATGGCACCAGGCTCATCCTTTGGATTCCCGCTGCATGAATATGAATATAGTCATGCATAGAAAGAACAAAAACCAGACTTGACTGGATAAAAAAACAGCTTAATCCTATAACATGGCTCCCTATACATACTCCAAGTATACAGTGAAGATACTTTATAGGTGGATAGGTGGTTTTCCACCAATTTTAACGAATAGATTGCTAGTAACCTTGCTGATTAAATGTCACAAAAACTATAAAAGAGTAACATACTCATAAAACATGTCCCTGCTGACATCTTTTCCCGTCATTACAAGACAGAGTGCTCTTGTAGTTGGGATTCCAAGACTATGCATTGCTTCGCTGCAGAGGAACTCCCGGATACTACTCCGAAGAACTGCAAGACCATCAGCAAAACGGCTATATGGGGTCTTCCCCGCACCCTTTAGCTGCAGCTCCCATCTTTCAGACTTTGAATTCAAAACCTCTCCAAGAGTTATTGCTCGACCATCACCTAGCTGACCAGCCCACATCCCAAACTGATGTCCTCCATAGTTCTGGGCATAAGGCACACTGCAGAAGCAAATTCAACTTAACATGCTGTCAGACTACTAAAAGTTTAAGCAGATCCAAACTAGAGAAGTAACACTTACGCCCCGACTAAAGGTGATGCCCCTGAGAACAGAAGTGGAAAATCAGGCCTCTCAAATCTGAAAGGTTAAAAGAACTCAGCGTCACTTCCATCACAATACATTAGAAAGGACAATCTTCAGCAAGCATTAAAACCTCACTCTTTAGGATCCAACTCAAGTAACTCAGCTACTGATTCTGACCACACAACGAGCTGAGGATTCTCTACCTCAACAGAAGGCAACATTTTCGTATAGCACGCATGCAATACCTACATAAGTACAATAATTGACTCCAATAAATAACTTGCAACATAATTCTACACCTCAAGGCAACAATATCAACGTCATCTCATCATCTTCAAAGTCAAAGGGAACTGCAGCCCTTACTAAATATGTAAAACCAGGATTTCAATTTTCTTGCTATGCAGACACTACTAGCAGAAGATTCACCTTTCTCATTTAGCTAGGAGCCATGAAACAAGTCTATTCTTTTTCTTTTCTAGAAAGGTTGTAAACCATTCCAATATTTCCAAATGGGAATTGATTCACCGAACTTACCTAGTACCCGAAACGTGGAATTGAAGAAAGGGAACCTCAACTAAAACTAATTTTAATCTATCAAGACAATTGGTGGGAACACAACTTCTACACATTAAAACTGAAAGGGACTGCAGCACTTATTACAAATATACAACATCAACATTTCGACTTTTTTGCTTTGTGACCAAAGAAATTGTCTCATAAACTATCAGAAGATAAAGTGATGAACCCTTTCCACAAGTAAGAGCATTAGAAGTCCCAACTTGATTTGATACAAACCAGGGATACCCACACCCAAAATCTAGCTGTTAAGGTGGGAGAGCCCAAAGCTGTATAAGCTGCACATCAGCTCGCCATCTAACCGATATGGGACTCAAGTCCCATACCTTGCAATAGGATCATAACAAACCACCACGCTCCGCATCCATCGTCCTCGACAACTCCACACTAGGTAGCTTTCACTCTACCACAACTCCGGCAGGCACGAAGGGTGGTGGGTGGCTTTGATACCATTGATACTACCCAGGGAAAACCACACCCCAAAAGCTAGCTATTAAGGTGGGAGAGGCTAAGGCTATATAAGATCCACATCAGCCCCCATTTAACCCATGTGAGACTCAAGTCCTATACCTTACAATAGGATCATAACACAGACTCAAAATCAGTGAAGAATTCATGAAATTCCAACTATTCAATTCAAAACAACCAATTCGATAAAGATCACAAATTTAATAAAAACCCAATTTTAATTCAACAGAAAAAATACATCTGTTCTTCGATCAGTAGGCAGATCACAAACAAAAGTATGATGGTAGGAAAGTATGAATAATAATACTGATAAGGGAACTAGACAACGCTTGACCTTCTAACATAAACCTCGACCTCCATATCTAGTTCTCGGTAAGCTACACGAGTATCATTCATGTCTAATCAACTCTTCCCAAGACTTCTCTAGCCTACCTCTACCTCTCCTTATACCCACTCTAGCCAACATCTCACACCTCGGACATTTTTGCATCTTCTCCTCATACGCCCAAAGCATCTCACCCTCGCATCCCTCATCTTGCCCACCACAGAGGCCACTCCTACCTCACCCCAACTTGAAATCACACTCCTCGAAATCAGTGAACAATTCATGAAATTCCAACTATTCAATTTACAACAGCAATCCAATAAAGATCATAAATTCAACCAAAACTCAATCTCAATACAACACAAAAAAATACAAATACTAACAAGAAACAGAAAAGGGGAATAAAAAAAAAACCTCTCTTGGAATGGTATCTGTTCTTGGATCAGCAGGCAGTTCACGAACAAAAGAATGATCCCAATTGAGCTCTTCAAGTTTCAACATACGTTTACTGTTACTTCCATCATTTCCCAAACTCTGCTTCTTCAATTTGTCAGCAACTGAATCAACCGTCACAGCAGCTGATTCCATTGACGGTGAAGAAGAAAACAACGCACGGCGGCGATTGGGATGAATTGGGTATGTAAAGGAGTTCTTTGGGTGATGAAAAAAATTGGGTCGAAGAGATTTGGAGAAGAGAAGAGCGGTAGATGAAGAAGAAGTATGAGAGAGTGAAACTGATATTCTGGAAAGTATTTGCATACTTGTTTGTATGTTTTAAATTTAATGGGGACTGAAATGAAATAGTACTAAAGTATGTTTTATTATTTTGAGAAAATTGAAACTTTGGTCTCTCAACTTGTTAAAAATACACTTTGTCCCTATTTAAGTTTTAAATTGAAGTATTTATTTGTTCTGAATAGATTTTAAATTTTATGAATAATTTTCGACTTTTCGTCTACACTTTGTGCATAACTGCAAACTATCACTACTAACCACCTTTGTAATCACAGTCGTTGTCAACCATGACCACCATCGTCAACTATCCGCCACCATACCAATCATTTATGTCATCACAATTACCATAGATGGCAACAACTATTGTCAGTCGCTATTATATTTACCTCCTCCATCATTATAATTATATTCATTGTCGCGATCATCACCACCATCATTATCAATCACTAGCGCTATTACGGTCAATTCCTACTAGCAACTATCTCCACAATCACAATTAACACCATTGTCAACTACCACAAATAGCATCGTTAATCAGACATTCTTTGATCACCATCAACACTGTCAACTGCTAACATCAACCAACTCCATTGTTATAAACCACATCTATCATCATAACTACCAACATCAACCTCACCAACAATCAACCACCTTTGTTATCACAATCATCATTGACAATTACCATCACTACCAATCACACACCTATTACCTCTATTATTATGATTAAATATATTGTCATCGTCGTTGTTGTCACCTCCGTCATCACCATCAATCACTATCGCTACTATGGTTAATCTTTACTACAAATCATCTTCACCACTGCTAACTACCACCAACACCTTATAATCCACCACACATTTTTCAGTCACCACCATCAATATCGTCAACTATTAATGTCAACCAACTCCACCATCACAATCTTCATCACAAACCACCTATGTCATCATAATCATCATAAAATCTAAATCAATTATATTGTTACCTCTGCATCATTAGGTTGTCCAATTAAGGACTTCCTTTGTCTCTTTTGAACACATTAACATTTTTATCATTACATTGATTTGATTAGAAAAATATGACCAATGAAATTTTTTATAGCCGATCCCAACTAATTCGATATTGAAGCTTGAATCACAAAAACAACTACTACAAGAAGCAAAGGTATTGTGTCCTTGTGTTCAATCTATAAGTTGAGGACCAAAATTAGAGATTTATCTATGTGTGAGGAGCAAAATTGCAATTCTCTTTTATGTTTTCTTGAAATTTACTAGTTTTTTTAGGGTCATAGCATTTATTTATTTTTATATAATTTTCTTTTTGTGTTTGAGACTTTTGACTTTTCATTGTTTGTCATTGTCCTGCCTATTTTCTTGGCAATAAAAATACTAACTTTTGGAATTTGAAAAACTAATTTTGGGATTATCTGTTCAATTTGTTGCTTAGTATCTTTCTTTCTTTTTCTCTCATTTCATTGTCTTGTTTGACTTCTTGGTAAAATTATAACTATACAAAGAAAATTAACACAATACATGCAAGAGCAATTTATTGTCAATCTCCAAATCATTATCTAGTATGGATAAATATGTATTGATATCTTATCTTTATGTCAAATCAATGAATGATAGATATTTGAAATACTCAAAGTATTTACCATCTAGCATAGTTGTCCTATTATTCAATGTTGGTAAATAAATAAAGTAGAGTTTAGGAGGCTCCTCTAATAAGATTAGAATTTTGATATGTTGTAAAATGATCTAGATATTACTACTCTTATGTGAACTTGCTCATATTGTTGATCTCAAATTCGAATGAAAGAAAGGACTGTGATTATACTAACAAGAAGAAATCTCTTGGTCTTTTCGCGCTTCCCTAAAGTCAAGAATGGAATCTTAATAACTCCAATGTTTTATTTGTCTGAATATATTGATACATATGATGTTGAGCAATATAGAACTTTATTTGTCTGAATATTTTGATCCATATGATGTTGAGCAATATACAACTTTAGAGCTATGTTCTTCGGACTTTTCAAGAATGTCATCAACATGCTCATATTGTTGATCTCGAATTCGAATGAAAAAAGGACTGTAATAGACTAACGAGAAGAAATCACTTGGTGTTTTCGTGCTTCCCTAAAATCAAGAATGGAATCTTAGTAACTGCAATGTTTTATTTGTCTGAATATATTGATCCATATGATGTTGAGCAATATACAACTTTAGAGCTATGTTGTTCGAATTTTTCAAGAATGTCATCAACATGCTCATATTGCTGATCTCAAATTCGAATGAAAGAAAGGACTATGATAGACTAACGAGAAGAAATCACTTAGTGTTTTTGCGCTTCCCTAAAATCAAGAATGGAATCTTAGTAACTGCAATGTTTTATTTGTCTGAATATATTGATCCATATGATGTTGAACAATATACAACTTTAGAGCTATGTTGTTTGGACTCTTCAAAGAAATGTCATCTGATGCGTGTTGGATCCTTTAAAAGTAGTCCGACACGGGTGTGACAACATTTTTGGAGAGTCTGAACAACATATCTACATATCTACAGAGGACCTTAACAAACAGTTCCTAAAAACACATTTGAGAAAGATAATCCTTTGATTGCTGTCCAAGACCTGCTACTTCAATTGAGCTTCAAGATACTGTGAAGCCAGAGCTTGTGAAATCATTGACTGCTCGTCTCCACCGCGGTCCAGTTCCAACTAACAAGAGCAAGAAATTCCGTTTCAGAGATATCAAAACACAGTCAAACGTTAAATTCTATCTCGGAGAAGAAGAAAACGAGTAGTTTACATGAAAACGAAGACAAATAAATCAGCAGGTGCACAATGAACTATTATCTCAATATAGTGAAATACCAAGGATATTTTGCAAATATCTTGTTAAAAAGAGCTTGTGGAAATTCATCGGTATGCATTTAGAGATAATAAGTTGATAAGGAAAGTTCTCGTTAAATGATGTACAACAAAACTGTTTGCATATCAAGGCACGTTAACAATTTACCTGATCGTTTTCATTGGTGATGTTAGCTGATAAACGACAATCCTTTTCCTTTGCTGACAGCATTCAGTTCAATGTTAAGGCCACCAAGAACAATGTCTTTCAACCATTTCTGAAGCCACTTACAACAGTGGCTCAGAAGTTATCTGACCAAAGAACTCGTGATGCACAGAATCACATTTTGGCTCATTGCTATTGCTAGTCTTTGAACTATGAAGCTATCGTGCCTTCTCCAACGAGGCAAGTAGGTTTCGGAGCTCTGATGCTTTGTTAGTCATTCCATTTATTGAATATGCTTTAATCATACTTCTGTATGTTATCTTATCTGGCTTACATCCACTTTGTTCCATCATCTCGAGCACCCCTTTCAACTCTGTGAAGCATCCCATCATCCCATATGCATCCACTAGGCAGTTAAAAAACACGGTGTCAAGTGCCACGTCAGAATTCTCAATAAACCGCAAAACAGCTCCAAGTTTTTCAGCTTTACCAGCTTTCCCATAAGCTCTTACAAGAGAACAAAGAGTAACACAGTTTGGTTTTATCCTCTCAGACTGCATCAGCCTAAAAAGAAATTCCATTTGCTTTAAATCTCCAGCCCTTCCAAATGCATCTATTACGATATTGTAAGTAACTATGGTCCATGAAAAATGATATTTCTGCATAAACTCCATCACAGCACCCATTTTCTCGTAATTTTCTGTTTTCCCGTATGAATCTAAGAGTATGTTGAATGTCTTGATACTAGGTTCAATTCCAGCACTCTGAAACTTCTCATAGCATTTTTCCATCATTTCTATTTGCCCGCTGCCACCAAATGCTCTCAATGTTGAGTTCATGGTCCACACATCGGGCTTACAGTCTCTTCGCCGCAGCATTTCTACAAGTGTGGATTCCATCTCTTTGAACCTTTGGCAATTAAAGAAAAGAATCAATCTCCCTATCATAGAAAACTAATGCCAGGCACCTACCTCGAGAAAATAGTAATCAAAGGATACAAAAACATTTTCTCAGCAAAGATGTCACAAAACTCAAGTTTGATATGATTGTGCAGCTTAAGGTTTTCGATCTGATAATCTACATAATGTGTTTCAATTGTTTCATCTCTCATTTTGGATTTCGTAAGTTGATAGAGACTCATTTCTAGTTGTGTTATGATTAGAACTTCCAATGAATAGAACCATAACAATGAATAGCAATCAAACCTTTTCGCTTTGCCATAGGAATCAATAAGAGTATTATATGTTACTGTATTGGCCTTGATCCCCATGCATTCCATGTCGGAAAGCAGGATTTGCACTTTGTCGAAGTCATAAACCTGCAGGCAGGATTTTATCAGGATGCTATATGTGAAGACATCGGGGAGGCAGTTCGGAATGTTCTTCATCTCTTCCAGGATAGAAAAAGCTTCGTGAAAGCGACCACTACGGCTATAGGCGGACAAAAGAGCAGTGTAAGCTTCTTGATTCACGACACAGCCTTCCTCCACCATCATCTCGAATAAAGATTGAGCTTTCTCAGGTTCCTTACATTTTCCAAGCATGACAATTAATTTGATATAAATGCCCGGATTGGGCCTGTACCACAACTGCTCCTGGAGGAGTTCAAAGACCTGATGGAAAAAAAAATTCACGATAATAATGGATAGGTTCTTGCACGTCTCTACAGAATTTAGCAACACTGGCAACCATAAGCAAATGTTTCTGAACTATCAAACCTCCATCTTGAATTCCAAAGTAAAGAAACAACGAGCACAAAAATATAGTCTGTGCTTCAAATTTGTTGTGCAATATGCAGTTATTATTGTACCTTTCTCAGTTCAGATAAAAAAACCACACCAACTCCAACTTGGATTCCAAAGTTATGAAACAAAGGGGAATTTGTTACACCTTGTTTGAATCGTTGTTACCTATTGTATTGTATTGTATTATTAGTTCAAATACTATGTTTGTTTTGATTGTTACTTAAATTGTATTGTATTGTATCGCTTAAAATCCATCGTTAGGTAACAACGAAAGTTCCATTTTATGTAACAACTGATTTGGTGTGATTGCGTCGTTACCTTAAGATATTCTTCTCAATTTATCTTTACTTATTATTTGATTATCTTATTTCATCCTTTATCGTCCATTTTCAACCTAGTTCTACCTCGTACTCTACTTTTCTCGTAGATTTATCATTTAAATTGTTGAAGTGTGACATTACATAATGACGGAAAACAATACAATCTATCCAAACATTGTACTCAACACAATACATTATGAAACAATAGGTAATAACCATCCAAACAATACGTGGCGTAGTTGGTTGGCTACCTTAACTTTCATGAGAGTTCGATTCCCCTCCTCCATTTCCCCTTCCCCACATAAAAAAGTTAGTAACAAAAACATGAAAACTCAATATGGTGTACTATATGCAGTTACAATGGTGCAGACAAAAAATTGCACTATGACTATCAATTCCCAGAAAAATTCCAACTTGGATTCCAAAATTAAGAAACAAAGAGCACAAAAACTGAACATGTGCTTCAAATGTGATGTACAATATGCAGTTACAATAGTACCTACCTCATTCCAAGTTCCAAAATTAAGAACCAAAAAGAGTGAAAAAAACTCAAAATTCCCATTTGGGTTCCAAAATTAACAACCAAAAAGAGTGAAAAAACTCAAAATCCCCATTTGGGTGCCAAAATTAACAAACAAAAAGAGTGAAAAAACTCAAAATTCCCATTTCGGGTTCCAAAATTAACAATGAAAAACACGCACCTTAAGAGCAGATTCCCAACGCAAAGCAGTAATACGTTCATGAAGAGCTTCAAGAACAGTACGAGGCAATAATTTCTTCGAATTCCCTTTCTTCTTCTTATACTCAATCACTGCTTTTGCAGCTTCTCTTCGAAGAATAATCGATACAGCTTTCTGTGAAGCTATCTTTTTGTTTGTTTCCTCTTTCCTTTCCTTTGCTTCCTTCACCTTCAGCTTCTCAACCTCCATTGAAGAAGAATCCGGTTTGGATCCGGGTACGCTAACTTTCCGGTGGGTTAACGGGTCATTCCGGCGGGTTAACGGGTCGGTTCTTGGGGGTCCGAATGATGACGGAGGAATTGGATTAGAGGGTCCGAAGAAGGAAGCCATGGCTGAAAATATGAGGCCGATTTTTTTTTTCTTCATATCATTAGTCACTAAAAAGATATTATAATTACGTGGGTCGGCTCAGCTCGGGTCAAATTTGGATGGGATGAGATGAGACGGGACGAGTTGAAAATGAGATTTTTATTTTGTTTACGCGGTTAGAATGAGTTAGAGTTTTTACGGATTTATATGAATTTGTTCCGCAATCGTATCATTCCTTAATATTAATTGCTGAATTTTAGGCTAAATTCATCCCTCAAATATAACTTAAACTTAGGTACATCATTATAGTATAATTGTGAACGAAAACATTTTTTAATTATTTCAAAACTTGCATAAACATCCTTTCTGTTAACTACTGTTAAAAAACTGACAAAAACAATTACAGACTTCCCTCAAATCCTCATAATGATGAGGTATACATTAACAGTTTCTTAAATTTACAAATAAATTTTATTTGGACATTCAAATTACTATATCATATTTCAACAGAAGACATAGTAAAATATATAGGTATAAGGCACAAACATCCCCTACACTATGATCGAAATTCCACAGACACACCTTAATTAAACTAAGGTCCTATTACCCCTGAACCCATTTTTTTTGTAATTTTATACACCTTTTTAGTTTATGTGACATTCAAACATCTCCCACGCACCTCAACTGTGTGGAGTCATAGAATGCGTCACGTAAGCCAAACAGTGTATAAAATTACAAAACAAATGAGTTCAGGGGTAATATGACCTTAGTGTGAGTCTCTAGAATTTCGGTCATAGTGTAGGGGGCACTTGTGTCTTTTCCCAAATATATATATTAAGCATCTTTAGTTCAAATTTTGAATTTTCTTTTTAGCGTGTATTTTCAAATATTCATTATGTAGATAAATCAACTATTTAAAATAACTCATATCTTTTAACTGTTCGAGTTAGTCTCAATAAGCCTTTAGTAACTCATGATCTAATTTCAATTGAAGATGATGTATAATTAAAAGAGATGATATAATTAATGTGGTTAATTTATCTGACATACTTAAACTACACATTTTTTTTTCCAAAAATTATCGAATATAAATATTTTATTATATATTCAGTCACTTAATTAAAATAATAAGTGTCTAAATAAATTTTGTTGGACATGACATGTATCAAGCCTATAGTTTTTTCATACTTAAAGTCATTTTTTTTGTTTTTTCACTCGATATTTTAAATTCACATTAAAATCGTAATTAAATCTAAATCACACACTATAATGTCTATTCGAGAGTGACATTCCTAACAAAATATTCTCTATAACAAAAACTCAAATTCAAACCTTCTCATTCAGAGTAAAACAGTCTCATTACTACAACACTATTCATGTGGGTTACTTTCAAATAGAACTTGAGTGGCATCTATTGAAAGAAAAAATGCACTAAAACTCAAGACAAAAAGCCAATCTTTATCTAAACAAAACACCATTTTAGTAATGCCCACTGTATTGATTTGCACAATCTGAGTATTTTCTTCTTATCCACATTCAATAATATTCACAAAAAAACTACACAAATTCACCCAAAAATTGAAATCAACAAAAAAAAAATCAATTTTTGAAAACCCCCTTTAGATAGAAGAGCAAAATCAAATCTTGATTTGCCCCTTTTTATGTTGTTGTTTAGATAGAAGAGAAAAAAATCAAATCTTGAAAACCCCTTTTTGTTCTAATGGGTAAAGGAGGAAGTGATGAAAATATGGCTGCTTGGCTTCTTGGTGTTAACACCCTCAAGATTCAGCCTTTCAATCTCCCTGCTTTGGGTATTTTTTTTAATCTACTCTTTCTTGAACTTATATTTATTGTAATCGTTATTTTGTCGCAAGGTTTGTGTATACTCTATCCTTTTTAGACTCCATCGGGTGTAATTATATTGAGTATGTTTGTTGTTGTAATTATGAATTTTGTTTGAAAGATTTGACTTTGGGAGCTTAGGGTTGACTTTTAGTTCACTTTGATTGATGTTTTGGTCAGGTTGGGCGAGTTGAGTTATGACCCGTATTATTTAATGGGTCAAACCCCATTTTGATGAGATGAAGTTTGTAAGTTTCTATAACGATCTCAAGTTAATATATAGTAATAACTGGTTCCTAGTCGAATATTGAGTTTCAATATTTCTTTAGTATAGCTGTCTTGTTTGATAATTTGACCAAATATAGCTCCTATAGTATGCTTTTATAGTAGTGTTATCAAAAGCAAAAAACACAGAAAAACAAGGTTTGTTGGGGGCTTTAAGTGCAAAGCGCAAATAAAGTGTGAGCTTTAATGAAAAAGGTGCAAAGGGAGAAAAAAAATGCAAATATATATATTTAGTCTAAGGCTAATAATTATAAGCATGAATGACAAATATACGAACAAAGAAATTGAATAAACTTTATGATAAAGTAAAATATCGATTATGTACCTTCGACTCTTTAGTAGAGGCTCTTTTGAAAACAAAAGGTATGTCTTAGAATCTTGATGACGATACTGAAGTGCTCAACATGTTTTACGTGCTGAATTCTGCCTGCATTTTGACATGTTTTACGTGCTGAATTGAGCCCAGTAAGCTTGAACACAAAGATTACTTATTTTACGTGCTGAATTGAGCCCAGTAAGCTTGAACACAAAGATTACTTATTTTACGTGCTGAATTCTGCCTGATGATGATATTGTTGCCACTATTTTATCAATCAGTGGGATTCCCTGATATCTAAATGGGAGTAAACCAGTGTATCTTCTTCTCTTTCCTCTGCATTGTTTTTAAATTAAAACATTGTCGTCTGATTTGCTTTGGTCTTTGTGTCCGAACGTTGCTAGAGTTTGAGGTACTGCTATTCCGGCAAAGGCATTCCATTCTATCCTGTGAGGAATTAATCTATACCTCGGGTAATGTGAGGGGATTAAATTCTTTAAAGACACCTAGTGAATTCTGCGGGATCAGAATAAACTTTGGTTTAAATGTTACTGGTTTTGTTTCTGTTTAAGCATTACTGTTTACATATGGATTCTGGTTTTAATTATTCTGGATAAGAACACAGGGACTAACATTTGTTACTTCATAGGACCCCATGATGTTAGAGTTAGGATGAAGGCTGTCGGTATTTGTGGAAGTGATGTTCATTACCTCAAGGTAAAAGCTTTCTTCTGATTCTCTATTTTGATAGCTTGTCTTCATGGTCAATAATTCTTGTTGGGATTTAGGGTTGGTGGGTGTGGTGTGGTCTATATTATGGTTATGTTTCCATTGACTCTACAATGATGGCATATGATTGTGGTGTATACCTAGCAAAACGTGTAAAAGGAATGAAGAAACTAGCTTGTTGGGACTTCCATTGTTCAAATGTAAAAAAATATGTTATATGGATCCGAACACTATTTTGCTTCTGGTATTGGTATGATCACCATCAATCTTTTTTAGAATGTTTTTATTGGGTTTTGAAAGATTAATGTGAAATGTCCATACCTATATCATCATATACATGTTTGCTATGTTGCTCGGACTCTCCAAAAATGTTGTCGCACTCGTGTTGGTTTTTTTGGGGGATACGACATGAATCCAACCACATTTATGAGTAGTCCCAGTAACTTAGCTGTTTGCAAAGCAAAATGAAGTGTATTGTAACATGGTGAAGTTCTGTTACATTTTCTTGGGCTACATCGTACATTGATTCTAGTCAAACAAAAATGTATCTTGGAGCCTTGAAGCGTTGTTGAGGACAATGCCAATGCTCATACTCTGGGTGGTTTGGTTAGAGAGAAACTACAGATGTTTTGAGAGCAAAGCAACCACAAATTTGTGTCTGAAATTTGATGTGTGTTCATTTATTGAGTTTTTGGTGTAATTTGGAGTACGTAATGAACTAGAGTCTATTTTGAACTTCAGACCATGAGGTGTGCGGATTTTGTGGTTAAAGAGCCAATGGTGATTGGGCATGAATGTGCTGGGATCATAGAGGAAGTTGGCGGTGAAGTCAAGACATTGGTTCCTGGAGATCGTGTAGCGCTAGAGCCAGGAATTAGTTGCTGGAGATGTGATCTTTGCAAAGAAGGGCGATATAATCTCTGCCCCGAGATGAAGTTCTTCGCTACTCCCCCTGTTCATGGTTCTCTCGCAAATCAGGTAAAAAGCTTACCCACTTCTATTAATTTTCTCACGATTTGACATTGTCTACATTGATTTCATGTAGTCACTCGTGGCATATGTCATGCGACATGCATCCTTCGCTGGTTAATTAAGATGGAAAATATGTCAGTAGTTTTAAAATCTTGTACCTTTTGGACTTTCGTCGATTACATAAATGATAGAATTGATATTGAGCTGGTTTGTCCCTCCGAATATACTCGTTAGTGTACTCGAATTTTCCATAGGCTTATTGTACAAGGTCACACAAAATTACGTACAAAGGCATTGTGCAGCATGCAGGGATTATCGAGTGATAATAATTTTTGACCTTGCTAAAAGCTAAAACACTGGTTTCTTTTGATCACCAACAGGTAGTCCATCCTGCAGATCTATGTTTCAAGCTCCCGGATAATATAAGTTTAGAGGAGGGAGCAATGTGTGAGCCACTTAGTGTTGGTGTTCATGCTTGTCGGCGTGCAAATGTTGGTCCCGAGACAAACATTTTAGTGCTGGGAGCTGGACCAATCGGGCTTGTCACACTGCTCGCTGCTCGTGCTTTTGGTGCCCCAAGAATTGTTATTGTGGACGTAGATGACTATCGTCTTTCTGTTGCAAAGAAGTTAGGAGCAGATGACATCGTCAAGGTTTCAATCAATCTTCAGGTGAGGATCCAAATTTCAAAGTTACCGCACTCTCGAGACTGAATACACGAGTTGCTTTCATGTATGATCACTAACTTTTTCCGTTGTAACAATGAAGTCACAAAGCTATTTTGTCTCGTTAAAATAACTTTAATATTATAGTGAGTAAAGTTCTGTGACCATTACGTGAAATTCGCCCGTGAATACAAAAACATCAAAGTTGAAGATGTTGCTGGTTTTCTTTCCAT